AAACTTTAAAGACTTCACTAAACAAACATAGATATTTGAAAATACTAGTGTAATCCAAAAATTTGTCAAATTTAGATTGATCTATCCGTTGGACAACCTACCAAAAAAACGAGCATACCGTCTTCTAGAAATCTCCAAATTACTCGTTTTTTGTGATGGAAACTAGACTTCCATGTCTTTCCAACCGTACATTATTCATAATTTTATTTTTATTTTTTTATTTTTTTTTTATTTTTTTTTTATTTTTTTTTTTGTCTTTAGGCTAACAATCAATAAAAAGAAAAAAGCATGATGCCAATAGAATTAAAAACAAAAAAAACGAAGGTTCAAAGTTGGCAAAAAATGAAAACATGATAAATGTAAAATCGTAGGCCACTATGCTAAAATCACAACCCATGAATGCCCAACTGTGATTTTGATAATTATTTGGGTCGTTTTCTTAACTTTTGGGTGTTTCTTGACAATTAATTAATGTATTTGACTAAATTTGTCTTTTAATCATCTTTAAATTGTGACTAAATTAGATAAATGGTTATTATGGTTTACAAAAGTCACAAGTTTTGTCCCTATTTTGTTCTTCTCAATGACGAGAATGATCTATATCATTTCAATGTCTTGTGAGGTTAGCTCCAGACCCAATTACAAAGACTTTTATAACCTTTTTATATACCATTTATAGCAATTAGGTTGCTACTGTTCCATGAAAAAAAATGAAGATTTGCCCTATCGATGTGGTTGTTCTTGAACTCCGTAAGTGTAATGATTTGCCAAAAAAGTTTGAGGAAGCTGAACCAGAAAGAGGAAGGCAAAAGGATGGAGAGGAATATGGTAGGTGGGTGTGGTGCCATTGTAATTTATTGATAACATACATTGGAATTAAACAGAAAAAAATAAAATAAAAGAAAATAAAAAGTTTATATAAGTCTTTTTAATCCGGTCAAGAGCGAACATCACAAGACATTGAAACAATATAGATCATCATCATCGATAGAAAAACAAAATAGGGATAAACTTGTGACTTTTGTAAACCATAATAACCATTTATCTAATTTAGTCTTATAATAATTTAACATGATTTAAAGATGATTAAAAGACAAATTTAATCAAATACATTAATTAGTTGTCAAGAAATATCCAAAATTTAAGAAAATAACCCAAATAATTATCAAAATCACAGTTGGGCCTTAATACGTTGCGATTTCAACGTAATGGCCTACGATTTCATATTTAATATGTTTTCATTTTTTGTCAACATTGAACCCTCATTTTTTTTTCTTATATGAACTCCGGTTGACCTAATTTATTTTTCATTACGTTCTTTGCAGCAAAAGCTTTCCATTTACATTTTACAATTGGGAAGCCCCCTTTTCAAAGCTTTAAAGTAGGGTTCTCGAATTATTATTTTTTTCCTGACTTAGAAACCTACTGCATATAGGCTATAGATCTATAAATCTCATTTTGAAACCTAGTGCATATAGACTCTAGATCTCGAGTTATGCATTTTCAAAGTAGGCTACTTAGTAATTTTTTAACTTCTCCAAAAATTATCATTTTTCATGGAAACATTTCCATTCACTTCAAACCACTCATATGCTATTAACAAAGACTTATAGGACTTAATCAATGTTGTTTTTTTTTTTTTTTTTTTAAAGTTAAACTCTTAAACTCATTTACTATGTAAATCTTGAAAAAGAAAAGAGTTTACGAGCTAAAATTCAAAATGAAATGCATTCATTAAGTTTCATAAATTCTTACTAATGGTATAATGAGTGGTTAAGAACAAATGGACATGTATTCTTGAAACTTATGTGAAAAATTGTAATATTTTGAAAACTTCAAAAATCATTAAATAGCCTAGTGGAACTTTATTACTCGAGATCTAAAGCTTGTATGCGGTAGATTTCTAAATGAAATTTGTAGTTAAATATGATAAGGAATCCATTGATAAACAAAACATTTGAATTTAGAAAAAAAAAACTTTCACATTTGAAGGTAGAGAAAAAACTTTCCGACAAAAAGTAAGAAATTTTTTGAAGTCTTACAAAATTGTCTCCAATAATCAAAGAAATTTCTATTTCGGAGCTTTGAAAGAAAGACTTTTCAGAGTCTAAACGTCGATTGTAATATATCAATGGAAATCATTTGCTAAAAAAATAAAAATAAAAAATAACATAATTGAAAAGAATTAGGTCAATCGAAATTCATAAATATATGAGGTTCAAAGTTGGTCAAAAATAAATGAACATATATGAAATCGCAAACTCATGAGCTAGAATCGTAACCCATTAAGGCCACATGATTTTGATTTTTTTTTTTTTTTTTTTAGAACTGGCAAATTTTATTGACTAAGCACTACATAGCAAGATGCTAGGCAGGCCCAAAAGGAAGACTACATTTGAGATTGTATTACAGACAATTTAAAGGGCAAACAAACCATTCGTCCCATTTAATATTACATTCTACTCTCCTATGTCTAATCCAATTGAATACAATAGATTTAACCCTGTCAATAATCTGGGAGAGTGAGTATCGTGTGCTCCTGAATACCAATTCGCATCTGGTTTTCCATAGTATCCACATCACCCCAAAACAGATGCAAATTAGGTTGTTTTTCTTTCTTCTGCATCTTCCCCAAGTTTTCGTTAGCCCAATAAGATCACCAATGGTTTGAAAATCCGGTTTTGGAATATTACACCAATGAAATATCAGCTCCCATATCTTGTTCGCCAACGGGCAACATATCATAATATGATCTGAATCTTCATCCTCGATATGGCATTGAGGACATGATTCACTTATATTTGTAATTCCTCTCCTCTTTAACGCCAGGTTGGATGAGATACGTCCCAAATTAGCTCTCCAAATAAAGGTATTGACCTTTATAGGGATATCATGAAGCTATGGGATGACTACTTCATTGATTGCCAGTTCTTTATTATCGATTCTTAACTTGATTGCCTCTACACGAAAAATACCGTCATCCGATAAAGGACAAATCCAAGAGTCTGGATCTGGACAGAGTCGATATACATCAATGGCTTCAGACAACATCTGAAAGTTGCGAGCTTGAGAGCCAGTTGCAGGGACTGATCTCCATTCCCAATTATAGCCTTCTGCTTGCACTCTTTGGCTAATTCTGCATGTTTTACGCCTTTCCAGTTGGTATAGATCTGGGAATTGATCTTTTAGTGGCTCGCCATCACACCATTCGTCCATCGAGAAGAGGGTATCATTGCCGTTCTTCACTTTCTTCTTTAGGATGTCTCGGAAACTTATCCCAACTTTAGTTAGTTCATTCGCCACCTCTGCTATATTGTTCCACACACCTGCAAAAGTTCTTTTCGACAAAACATTAGCATGTTTGTTTTTCAAATTGTGAATACCCGTAATTACACGACTCCATAAGGCTGTTTTATTTGATTTTAATGCCCACCACCATTTGACGATCATTGATATGTTGAAGGCCTTGAGAGATCCAAGACCAAGCCCCCCTTTTTCTTTTGGAGCAATGATCTTTTCCCATGAAACCCAAGATATTTTATACCTGTTATCGCTCCCGCCCCATAAGAACTGTCTGCGAATCTTTTCCAGAAGATCAATGACCCCCACTGGGGCCACAAAAATAGAGAAGTGGTATGACGGGAGACTGCCCAAGACAGCTTTTGCTAAGGTTAATCTCCCACCAAAGGATAGTGCTTTCGATTTCCAAGGCGAGAGCTTAGAATAAAAACGATCAATTATAGGTTTCTAATGTTTCTTTAACTTCATGTTTGCGCCAACCGGGACGCCCAGGTAGGTGAAGGGTAACGATGCCGGTTGGCATCCCAAGGGGGCAACCCATCTAGAGACCTCAGCCATGTCACCACCAACACCAAAAACCCTGGATTTGATAAAGTTTACCTTTAGACCTGATGCTACTTGAAAGCACCTTAATATCCTTGCTAGGTTTTTTATGTTACTTTGACTCCACTCGCCCATAAAAATGGCATCGTCCGCATAGAACAAATGGGATATTGACAATTCAGCATTTGGAATTTTAAGCCCTTGAAAAAGGCCTTTCTGACAAGCTGTTTTCATCGCGATATTAAGTCCCTCCATGGCAATTATGAATAAGAAGGGCGAGAGTGGGTCCCCTGCCGAACACCTTTTTCCATATCGAATTCCACCGTTGGAGACCCGTTTATAAGCACCGAGAGTCTTGCTGATTGGAGACACCCTTTTATCCACATACGCCATTTATCTCCGTATCCCATTTGAACAAGTAACGAATCAAGATACTCCCAATTAACGGAATCAAAAGCTTTCTCTAGGTCTAGCTTGAAGAGAAGAATCTGTTTTTTTTACCTTTTTAGCCCACATACATATCTCGTTTACAATCATAGGCCCATCCAAAATATTACGTCCCTTCACGAAAGCAGATTGGGCTTCTCCGATGTTCATGCCAATCACCATGCTAAGTCTATTAGCTAAGGCCTTGGAGATTATTTTGTATAACGAGCCAATTAAGCTGATTGGCCTATAGTCTCTTATATGCAACGGATCCTTTATCTTTGGTATCAGCGTGATGAAGGATGAGTTGCAGCCCCGATCCAGCGTGCCATATTTCTCAAAATATTTGACGAATCCCATAATATCTCCACTCAATACGTCCAAGAATTTTTTAATGAAATCAAAGGTGAAGCCGTCTGGGCCAGGTGACTTTTCTCCTCTACATGCCCAGATGGCACATTTAATTTCTTCTGATGAGAAGGGTTCTTTTATTTTTGATCGAGAGGCCGGGTCGAGTGAACAGAATTCGCTGCTGATGAGCTTTGGCCTGGTAGACCACATGATTTTGATGGTTATAACTTTGAATTCGCTGCTGATGAGCTTTGGCTTGGTAGGCCACATGATTTTGATGGTTATAACTTTTGCTTTTTCTTGACAAATGATTAATGATTTTGACTATTTTTTTTTTTTTATATATATATTTTAAATCCAATTATCAATGCTAACTACCCCGAGACCATCTTACAATTAGCCGAAGAAAACTTGAGCCTTTTAGAGGCCAGCTCTTCGCAAAGCACTCGGCTCCTCCTCGACGGCGTGACGCCAGTCAAACAGATACACCGACACCGCACGCAACCGCATCGCCACCTCTTGACTACACGATCCGGTCGATGCTTGATTCTACAAGCATTGCGACGCATATTCTCTTAATAATTAATATCACTGCGAAAAAACACCGGTGATTCGCAATTCTGCGGCCCCAAATCCAAACGCGACTCTACAGCCACCACAGCTACCACCACAGTAAGTGAATATAAAGGAAGAAGCTATAACAAAATGAAAGCCCTAACAGAAGAAGCGGAAAAGACTGGAATCGAATCGGGGAAGACGGATTTAGCACCCGTAGGGAAAAATACGACGAAGAAGAAAGTGAAGATTGTAAAGAAGATCGTGAAGAAAAAGATTATTAGAAAGGTACCAAAGCGTGTGCTAGTTGCATCATCCCATTGTAATGACAAAGAAAAAGTTGCGAGTCCTAACCCTAATGATAATTCTCCAATGGAAGCTGAAGCATTTGTACCGGTGGAAATTGAAAATCCTACTCTTGTTGTTAACGACTTAACAGAAATTGAGGATATGAAGGAGTTTGAGGTTAGTAATAAGGATAAGGACGTTCGTTTGGTTGAAAACAATGATTGTTGCAGGGATGAAAGCCAAACGAGTGATTTGGTATCTGCATCCCTTTTGGGTGATCAGAACCAAATTGAATTGCACGATAGTGAGCATACCATCAACAACATGGATGCAGAAGAACATGTAGGTGAGGAGGGTGTGAAGGAGCAGGATGAGAAGGTTTTCGAAATGGATGTTGGTGTAAGTGAAGACACAAAGGTAGAGGAAAATGTGAAGGCGCACACAGAGAGGAGTGAATGTGGTGATGCTAATGCTAACCTTGCAGGTGGTTTAAATAATGGTGTCAAGGGAGAAGAGGACATGGATAAGCAGGTTGACAATAGAGAACATATTGATTTGAAACTGAGTGATGCGGTTGAGCCTGAGGAGGGATTGAAGGAGGTAGCGAATAATGAAGCTGATGGTTTAAAATCACAAGGTTCAAGTGAGAAACAAGTAATGAGTGGAGAAATGGTAGCATCCAGGTCGAATATGAAGCACAGGACAAAGGTTTTTATCCATGGTTTTGACAAGGAGACAAAGGAGGAAGATATTAGAAAAGTTTTTGAGGAGGTTGGTGAGGTTGTTGAAGTGAGGTTAATAACAAATTTTAGATCAGGGAAAAGCAGGGGTTGTGGCTTTATCAAGTATGCTTCAGCAGACCTTGCCAAATTGGCTCTGAACAAATACAACAATGTTGAGGTAACTCTACTTTGTCCACTCATTATGTTGTAGATTGTTTTTTTCCCTGTTTGCAGCATTTGTACATCAAGAAATCTAAAGGTCTGATCCATCCATCATGTGTACCAAAATCAATGCTATTGACATGTTTAATGATTACTGTTGCAATTGCATATCTTTCTCTTATATCTCCTCTACCTGGTTTACTGATACTGATCTGTATAACACTATTGTCAACCACTATAATATGAACAGCTGTTAGAGCCTGTAGTAATAAACTTACACCATGCATAGTTACATGATTACAAAACTAGTTTTTCACGAGTTAAATCCTGTAATTTTTTTGATTTATCAAATAAAATAGATTCGTGGAAGACTATGTCACACAGCTGCTGTTGATGGGAGTGACACTATCTTACTCAACAACATCAACAAAACCTGGAACAATGAACATGTAAGCTTTTTTTCAATCATCAATCTTCATTACATTTACTCCCCACACTTAACAAAATATATACATATAATTCCTCCATCTTTCAGGTTCTGACATTATTACAAAAAATTGGCATCAAGAACATCGATGAAGTCTCAGTTGTATCCGACCCTAAAAACCCTAACCTAAACCTAGGTTTTGCCTATCTTGAACTTGAAACAAAAAGAGATGCACAAGTCGTTTACAATAAACTTCAAAACAAAAATATTTTTGGGGCCCACTCAAATATAAAAGTCACATGGGCCCACCAATCGGCTGATCCAGTCGAAGAAGAAATACATAATAATAATAATAATAGTAGTAGTAGTAATAGTGATCATAATAATAATAATAATAATAATAATAATAGTAGTAGTAGTAGTAATAGCAATAATAATAATAATAATAAAAATAATAATAGTAAATCTGTATATGCTGAAAATATACCTTCAACATGGGGAGAAAAGGAAGTGAGGGGCCATTTTGGAAAATTTGGTGAAATTGAAAGCATTGCACTTGCGAAAAATCTTCGGTCAGCTACCAGAAACGACTTTGTGTTTATTAATTACAAGAAATGTGAAGGTGCTCTTTCGTGTATCGAGGCGTTGACTTGCAAAAAGTCAACCAGTGATGATGGGTTAAAGGTTTCTCTTTCAAAGTCAATGACAAAAGTCAAACCAATGAAGACCATCTCAGGATCAGGGTCAACTGTTACCGAGGTGAAGCAAAAAACTTACCTCAGGCCACACAAGAAACCTCAAAACATGAAAATTCCAAGCATTAGTAGACATGATGAGGATGGTAGAAAAAAGGGAGAATCTTCTTCAACTACTGATGAACTTGTAAAGCTTTTGAGGGAGCAAGCATCTTGGAAGCATGGTGGACCAAGTTTGACTTTGACCCCAGGTTTTTCACTTTTTTTTTTTTAAATGCCTATGACTCATGAGTGTCACAATATGTTACATTATATCTTTATTTTTTCAGGCATAAACACTGGTCATCATCATCAACATCATAATTATAATCATAATCAACATCAACCGTCATTTGGATTTGGAGGAAAGCAACCGTTTACACAACAAGTGGTAATTAGTTGAATTATTTCAGAAATCAAAACACATGTAATAATAATACAAATCATAGTTGATATATAAAGATGTTGTGTATTCTAATAGGGAAGCAAATCGTTATATCATGATCCCCAATCAATACCATATTCATATCACCAAACTCATCTTCAAATCCCTAATGCTGCTGCTGCTACTACACATCCCAGGTGTGTTGCAATTGCATGTTTCTTGATACACACTTTACCTTCTTCCTTGTGTAACTATAACCTCACTTTAATTGTGAGATGGGTATTTGTATATTTTTGTGTTTTTAAGGGAAAATAAATCTGAAATTTGACAAGAAATATGTTGTACTGGTCTGATAGATTTACAAGCAGACCAACAACAGATGGTGTTGCCATGCCCATGACATCGTTCCCTCGTATTGATCCACAACATGCTCGTTACACATCTGGTATGTTGTTATTTATCACTTATGGCTATATATGGTTGGATTAAATTATAACTGATAAATATTTTTGCTTTATAGGATCATTTAATGGGAACCCTGTTCCTACGTACTTCCAGGTATGATTCAGATTGTCTGTTTCTGAATATTTATTCTGAGTTCCCTTTTAATTAATTATCTTGCAATATTAAATTTTCCATACATTTTTTGCAGACAAGAGACCAAACTACATATCATGGAAGTAGTAGTGGCAGCAGCATATATCGGCAAATGCATTAGTTGTAAGTCAAAAAAAAAAAAAATTCAAATGTTTTCATATTTGAATTAATGACATTAAAAATTTGTTCTTGTGTTTGGTTGAAGGTATTTTTTTGACCCCATATATGGATTTTAATTTTTAAAGTTTAAACGCCTTCTCTGCAAATCCTTTTTGTCTCACATTTCTTAGTTCACTATTGTTTACAGGACTTGGTGGCTGCTAAGGTGTCTGCAGAATCCCCATTAGTTTTTTGGTGTTGGAAATTATATTTAAGCCCTTTGTAAATTCACCCCAACTGTAAAAAAAGTGTTTATGATGTTATACTTATAAATCTGATAAGTGGTTGTCAAGGTCTTGAATCATGGAAATAATTCAATCTTTTTTTTTTTCATAGTTATTGTTGATCTTAAATTAATTAATTTTTATAAACTAATATGTGTGATATTAGATAAATTTTATCAATTTTCAGGGTGTTTGGAATTGCTTATATGAAATGAATAATGTTTAAGTTATTTTGTATTAGATTATACAGTACCAAATTACAATTAACGAGAAAAAAATGTTTTGATTAAGCTTATGATGTACCAAAAAGGTAGTTAAGTTATTTTGTAACAGCACCTTAAATAAACAATCCTGCTTTACATCAAAAGCTTAACATAACCATGTATTTCCACTTAGCAAACATTTAACTTACTACATGTTCACAAAAACAAAATAGAAACAAAAAATACACACCAAAAAGTAAAAGACTATTCAAGAAAAAACTCAAAACATGATGCACAATAGCCAAAAACATTAATTTAGTAATGATTATAAAATATAAACCACATTCAGTTGGAAGTTCAAGTAGCAAAATTGCAGATTCTGATTTGACTTTTTGTTTTGATCATCTTCTGTTTCTCCTAGAGGAGACAACTGTCCAGCCATCTGCATCAACAATTGGTGCTGCTGGCCTTGCTGATTCATTAAGTGTCATATCCGCCATGTTTGAAGTCGGGTCAACCCCATCTGCCATTTCCATCGACTCATCCCCTGAGCTTGAGGTTGAATCTGAATCATCTTCACCACCATTCACAACCTAATTTCAAGCCCGAAAATCATCAAAATTGTAACAAACCAATAATAAATTTTTTGCTTACTGCTGCAACGTATGTGGGAAAAAAGGGAAGAGGGGTGATAGGATGAATCAACATAATACCTGCATTTGATGACTAGCAGCAGCAATTTGAGGTGCAGATTGTCTCAGTCTTTCGATTGATGCAAAATTACCTTCCAAACATTCTTCATGAATGATCATTAGATTATCTGCTATCTGATCACAAAAAAAGAGATTGAAATGTTTAAAAAACATTTGATGAAATGCGAGCATACTTTGAGAAAAAGGGGTTTGCTTTACCTCTTCTATGCTACCATCATCAATCTCGGTATTAAGAGAGAGCATAAAATCATCAAGCAAATTCTCCAATTCATCAACATATAATGCCTCTGAAAAACAGAACAATGGATGTAGAGTTATAGAAGCGATTTTCAATTGCCAGTTGTACGGATTCAGAAGAATTTCAGTTATAATATACATCCATATAGAACCGATCTTCATTGAAGACTGAAGACACTGATTGTTAATTACCAGAAGGTCTGATTAGCCATTGATAGATATCAACAGCAAGTTGCTGAGCTTTCTGGCGAGTATCACGTCCACCCCATTCGTTTTGTACAGCCATCTGAAGTGCACTCCATCGACCAAGAAGCAAATCGATACCTTCTCTGAGTTGATTAACAGCCTCGGCTGTAAGCTGAGCAGGCACCACCATTGTAAGTTCGCCTACAAAACCCTAACCACTGTTAGCATTCCAATTCTTCTAATAAGACTTCGTGCTCATTAAATTACCAAAACCGATAGTAATCAAAGTACGAATTAGCGAAGAAAATATAACACGAAATATAGCTTGAAATCACGTAAAAACCAAACTGCCTCGACACATATACACCGATATTAGAGAACATGGTTATCTATCGCAGAAGATTGATGTAAAGAATAGAGAGAGATTTACCGATCACAATGTTCGGAATTAGGTTTCTTCAGTATTGAGGATGGAAGCAGCGGCTGCCATGGCGTTTGTAAGCAAAGCGAAAGGGGGAAAGGAGCAGCGAGGAGGCCATTGGGCTATTTGGCCCAATCTCGTAAAAATCCGATCTAGTAAGGCTACCAAACCCGTTAGTTTTGGGCCTTGTTAATTGTTACATACGCATACCCAAGGTGTGGACGCGAGACGAGAGGTTTGCGAAACGGGGCGATGTCGGTGCTCTTCACTACGGTTAGAGATAACATTAGCTCGGTAACTACATGCTTTGGTAATAGAAAGGCAATGCATCTATAGAGATAGATTTACGTCGGATAAGCAGTTGGTCGCCATCCATTGTAGGTATAAATACGACCTTTCATGTCCCATTTAGAACACACTGAAATTCGAGAATTCCTCTACTTTCTCTTTCTCTCTGCGAATTCAAAAAGCAAATTGTTTCAGAATTTTCAGTTCTTCTAATTTTCGAGGATTCACTATGCGTTTATTAGTTTTCGAATAGTCGTTAAGAAAAATCGATAATATGCATTAAATCATGGGTTTTACGCTGGAGCTTATAGCTATCAATCAAGTTAAAAACCTTTAAGGATAAGAATCATTCCGTATAGCTTTCATTAGTCAAGAATTCATAATTGTTGGACCAATTTTAATTTTCTCTTATGTCCTTTAATTCGTCTAATAGACGATCTTCTTCTACCTTTCTTATAATCAAATCTGAGTGCGGATGATCAAACTGATTTCTAGAGAAAACTTGGTGATAATAATAATAATATTCAGTGTTTTTAAGGACCATATAATTAATCACCAATATTAATTGTTTGATCGTTTTTTTCGAGATTACGAACGATAGATAAGTAGCTCACACAATTAATTATCAGATTGTTTAATTGTCAAGTATGAAATACAACAATCTTAAATGTTTGTATTACCATATTAAATTTAAGACAAATGGACACCAAAACCTTTTCCACCAAATTTTGACTTATTAATGAGGCATTTGCAAAATTGACAACTTCAATGGTTAGAACTACATCCATTGGACCGACAAATAGGCGTGTTCATCAGTTCAAATCCAATGGATTTATATGGAACTAATCCAATCCAATCATCATCAGGTTTTAGATTTTGCCAACCGATCCAATCCAATTCAGTATAAAAAACCGAACCGAACCGATACAATTGTATGTTGGATTGGATCGGTTTTATCCATTAGATTTTGTTATTGGTTTAATCTATTGGTTATCTATTATCTAACCGATTCTAATATCTTTCTATCGAATACCCAAATATAACTATAACAATTAAAAATAAAACTGAATACAAGTAAGCGAAAAAAGATTAACAAAGTAACATTAACTTTAAGTTATAAACTTTTTTTTTTTTTTTTTTTTGTAAAACTAAGAATATTAATTGGATTTGAAAAATAATATTGGATATTTATTAGATAAAAATGGATACCCAATTGGATATGTTTAGTTCAGTTATCCATTGGATTTTCAGGATGATCTAATAACCGATCCAATCCAATTGGATTTTCAAATTTCGCATCCGATCAAATTCAATTGTAATTGGATATCCAATCCAATTGGTCGTTTCGTAATTGGATCGGTTAATTGTTGCACACCCTATCGACAAGGTCAAGTTTTCGCTTGCTGTGCTTAAGCTTGCGTATTGTTATAGACCTTGAACTACCCCCATTACGGCTGAGTATGTATCTGAAGGCAAAAAGGAACCGGAACAAAATGCAGTTCCTGATTTGTAGAAACTAAGATATTTTTGAAAAGAATTGGAGGGCTTATACCTTTGTCATATTCAAAATTATCTATCTGATCACCTCTATGATCTGTATGTGCTGATCACAATTCTTATAAAGCCCTAAGCTTAAAAACAAGGCACACACAAAAGTTACTAACACATATATTGTTTCTGAATTGAGGAGAAAGCACACAACATGGATAATGTGTTAAAGAACAAGAAATGCTTGACCATCACGACGGTGTTTGTTTGGGTGTCATAGGGTTCCGGAAATAATAAGGTATACTCTTCAGGCCTTAAGTCTCACATGTTTTTGGCAACTGAGGTTGAGGTAGAGGTTCTATCACGAAAGAAAAAGGACAGGAATGGATTCTGAGGTGGTTAAACCGGGTTTGTGATCCGGTTCTTAAATGTGGTTTTTATTTCTAGAGTTTAATCTACTGTTCTGTTTTTATTTGCTCTTTGCTTTGTACTTCTTGGTATCTTGCCATAACTTAATTCAATGAAAATTTTGCTTCCCGTTCTCAAAAGCCTAGCTAGAAGCCGTGCCCCATAAACCTATGTACATATAAAAAACTAAACAAAAGTTGTTAAAAAACTGCCTTTTTTGTGAACAAACATTAAACAGGTCTGCCAAGCATTAAATACACAATAAATATTACATTAAATACGTAAAACACTAAAATAAAAAAATAATAATAATAAAATAAAAGAAAAAGAGTGAAGATACGAATATGATGATGCCCGCTTTATAACTTTCGCCTGAGCACCAAACCAGGCAACAGATTGCGACCTCAAACTTCAAATGCCCACTAAATTTCTTTCCTTTTATAAGTATCTCTAATGCAATCGTGTTTAGCAAATACACCCGATATTCGATTTTTCTTCAACCAAATTGTTTGTTCCTCTTCCTAGAGCTAGGGTTTCAACAGTTCTAAGCACAACACCACTCATATTGCGAAATTCAGGTACTTTTCTCAATAAATTTTTATCCCAACTCATCGCATAGAACAAATTTCTTGCATTTTAGTCGAAAACCAGTTTTTATATATATATGAGAAAACTTCACAATGTTCTTGGTTTACGAACGACTGGTTAGGTTAAACACCTTCATTACTGTTGTTTGAAAATTGCATTGTATACGTGAATTTGATGTAATTTAAAGTTTCATTTGGTTAATTATTTGTCAGAAATCAAAATGAGTAACATTTGTGTCGTGAAAATCTAAGAATTACAGACCTAATTTACGTTTCTCATTTGCCTCCTAAATCTTATCTCACAAACCAGCAACTAATAGAACTCCTTATTAACATATTTGATTTAGAAATGGCGCATCTATACAAAAGTAGACTCCAAAACTATGCACAAAAGAAGAACATTACTTTCCCTGTGTATGCCTGTGAGATGCAAGGCCCACCCCATGCTCGTCTCTTCAAAGCACGTGTCACCTTAGATGGAGCTACATTCGAAGGACCCGAATTTTGCACCACATTGAAAGATGCAGAACATGCAGCTGCTAAAGTCGCTTTCATGGCATTATCACCAGATGGAACACAAGAAGTGTGGTTCTTAAATCTTATGCTATCTCTATTTATATTTATTAGCCTTACTTTACTATTTTTAAGTTTTAACAGTGTGTGCTTTGATCCAGGATGATTGTTTATACAAGAGTCTTTTACAAGAATTGGCTCAAAAGAAGGGTCTTCTTCTTCCTGTTTATGCCACAAATCGAACTGGCCAACCTCATATGCCATGTTTCTCCTCTACAGTTGAGATAGCAGGTTAGATCCTTACAAAAAATATTTTAGTGTAAAAGAAGAAAACAGATATTTTTCTAGTTGCTATCACCTGAAATTTTGTTACTTTACCATATTCCCTGATCTATTGATAACATTACTAAGCAGGTGAATGCTATGCTGGGCAAGAAGCACGGACTAAAAAGCAAGCAGAGATGAATGCAGCAAAAGTTGCTTTTATGGCTCTTACAGAAGGTAAACAGATCTAACATGTTATAGGTGTACAAAAGTTCATAATTTTCCATCACACACTAGCCTTAATTGAAATTAATAATTACATGGTTTATTTTTGTTTGTGTTTTTTATCAATAGGGGGACAAAGAACAAACAATGCTGCTGTCTTTTCTGACATCCAGATTCCGGGAGCTTCTATTTCTGGATCTTCCAGCTCACAGACAGTGACAATCGATGATAAAGAATCTACCCTCGAGCAAACCACTAATAAAATGCGGACAATTTCCATTAACGACCCTCCCACTTATCCAATTGCAAAAGAACCCGAGAAACCAAAAGGTGATTTTCAAAATACATTTACTTTTAAGCTTCTGATAAGAAGTATTTACCCCCTATCATATTGTTTTTAGGATATTATGGATTGAAGAACTTAGAAGATGGACTCTATATGGCTACAGCTCCTACAGAAGATATACAAAAGAAGCATGCAATCACCATGGCGCCAGGTGTCATCCATCGACCTCAGCCAAAAACCACATCGAATGTTGTTGATGAAGCGAAATTGAATATCATGCGGGAAAATCTCATAACTCGAGCCAGTCAAGCTCGTGAAGGTACTTAGGCAAACATTCTAGGGATACAGTCTATCCTGTCCTGTCCTAAACTGTGTTAATCTGTCAATGCTATGCTTGTTTTGAGTTTTCGTAAATATGATATTATTGTATCTTATCTTTTCAGGATCAGGATCAGGGTCAAATGGAAAAAGAAATCAATCTTATGTTAGGGTTGACCTTGTTAAGAATTCGGGTGGTGCAATGCCACAAAAATCCAAGATTGTGATTCGAGCACATGCACAAGGCATGACGTATGAGGGTCCCATCCATGTTTCTGATGACGAGTGGGTGGCCATGAAAGTGAATGTTGAAGATGAAGTGTGATTTGGGACTATTGCAGAAGGATCAAAGATGTTTGTCTAAGATCAAATTAGTGGTGTAATTTCTTTGGGTTTTTGAATCCTTATATTCTATCACTTTGTATTCAGGCGTAAGAGTTCTGCAGTGATATGATGAGTTAGGCGGTGATATTGTGAACCCAAGGTTAATACTTCATATGTGTATGCTAGAGATTGACGATTTCAACCCATTTGCTTATGAAATGATCAATTTGGGTTGAATTCTCTTACTGGTTGAATGTGTAAAACAAATAAAAAGCTAGAAAGAAAGCATGTTGAATCAAAATTTCCACATGAATTATTAGAATAGAGGAAATTATAATTTGAAGGAATTGTAATATTCACAAGTTTGGTTGGTGGAAAATGAACTGGGATTCTATAAAGTACTTGTTTTTTACTTTAGACAAAACTTCAAAAATGATCCCTGTGGTTTTCGAAAATATCAAGTTTGGTCTCTAATTTACAAAACCTCATGGATCGTCCTTGTGGTTTCAAAATTTTTAACATTTAGTCCTTTCGGCTAACTCTGTTACCATTTTGTCGTTAAGTCAGGAGTATTTTTATCATTTCGCTACACAAGGACCATTTATGAGGTATTCAATTACTTTTTTTAAATAAATAAATAATATTTAATATACAAGGGGTCTCTCTCTCTCTCTCTCTCTCTCTCTCTCTCTCTTATGATTCCACAAGGTAGCACCACCTTCCGCCATAAAACCACCACTGCCATCAACTCCTTCCCCACAAGAAATCACAACCCAACCACCCATCTTCCATCCTGTTTGATCACTCAGACCCACCTTCAAATACCACGACTTACTGCCTTCCATTAACGTTTTTCTACTGCCTTTCCCCTTTTCCTTCACTACCGAGAAACACCACCACCCGTGTGTTGTTGTTGTAACCCAAACACCTCATCGAGTGTGGTTTGTTCGAATTGAGAGCCAATCTTCTTCTACGGGTGTGAAATTATACACTTTTAGTTTTGTGAAGTAACATTTATTTCAGGTGTTTCATCGAGCACCTGGAGTGCATTGTTCTCCTCTTTCATTTTCTGATTTATTTAGTAAGAGTTATCACTCGTCGCTGTTCGAAATCACCACCATCACCACCTGTGCATAATCAAACTTGAATACAGAACGAGAGGGAAATCATCAACTCAAAAGAAAAAAAATGCAAATGGCCCTTAATTTAATCGAGACTTCTGATTTATGATTAGATTGAAACATAGCAAAAAGAATAGTGGGGATGATCTTACAGTATCAGCAAGCTGTTAGAGGTGGTGATGGTGGTCCACAGTGGGTCTCACGGTGGCAGCTCCACTGCCTCCATCGTTTTCTTCTGGGTTTCGTTGTCAGCTACAGAAATAGGAGAGGATGAGAGGTGTTAGGCTATATTGGAGGTGGTTTTCGGACTTATGGAGTGGCAGAAAATGGTGGCAATGCTCTGTGGAAGAAGGGTGGTTGGATGATGACAGGGAGCTCCGACAGCCTCCTGCTATCGATTTCTTCTTGTTGTTTGGTGTATATGAAGGGAAGGGGAAGCGAGTTCGGAAGTGGAGGAAGCTTGCCAGGCAGCAATGCGTTTTTTGGTGGGAAGAAAAGAGGTGGCAGGAGGGACTCCGGTTGCTGCTGCCATCGTTTTCTCTTCTGTTTCGGAGGATATGCTGACGAGGGGAAGGGTTGGTTGGAGGTGTTGATGATCAGAAGGGGTTATAAGGTGGTGTAGGGTCGGTTTATTAGGGGTGAATGGTGGTTTGTGATGGTTTTGGGTAGCGTTGTGTGTGTGTATGAGAGAGAGAGAGAGAGAGGTGGGACCCCTTTAAATTTAATGTTTTTTTCTTTTTTTTTTTCAAAAAAATAGAAAACCTCATAAATGGTCCCTGGGTATTGAAATGACGAAAATAACCCTCACTTAACGGTAGAAAGCTGACAGAGTTAAACGGAATGATCAAATGTTAAAATTTTTGAAACAACAGGACGATCCATGAGGTTTTTGTAAATTAGAAACAAAACTTGATATTTTCGAAAAGCAGAGGATTTTTGAAGTTTTGTCTTTATTTTAAGAAGATAACATTATGTTAGGTTTGAAAAAGTTAGCTCTTATCAATAACATAGACCTCAAATATATGTTTTAAACCTTTATAAACCAAAACTAAACCATAATGAAAAAAACCCGACCCGAACCAACCCATAACCAATTGACTTAACTAACTCAATAACCATTAGTAACAAAATTTCTGCACTACAAGATATCAAGACATAAAAACCAAAAAAGAGCTCCAAAACCCGTATCTATCGTGTTATTTAACCACCATGTGCTCACTTTGTGTTGCCAAGCTCGGTGCGCATCTTCTTGGTGGCTGTAACCATGTTAGATAGCGCCGGCTTCACCTCAGAATACTTTCGCGTCTTAAGTCCACAATCAGGATTCACCCACAAAATCTCGCGCTTCAAAACCGCAGCCGTTTTCTTGATTCTCTCTGCAATTTCCTCCGTTGATGGTATTCTTGGAGAGTGGATATCGTACACACCAGGACCGATTCCAGCACTGTACTTGATTCCCTCACGGAACACCGACAGAAGCTTCTCGTCGGACCGCGAGTTCTCGATTGTTATCACATCAGCATCCATGTCGATGATGGAGTTGATGATGTCGTTGAAGTTTGAGTAGCACATGTGTGTGTGAATCTGTACACCATTACAAACATAAACCAGTCGTTGAAATCAAAATTGTTCAACCGAAAACAGACGACGCTAGGGTTTCGACGGAGATTACCTGAGTGGAGTCCTGGACGCCGACGTTGGTGATTCTGAAAGCGTGCACCGCCCAATCCAAGTAGAAAGCATGCTCGGATTTCCTGAGCGGCAAACCTTCTCTCAACGCAGCTTCATCGATTTGGATGATTTTGATTCCGGCTTTCTCGAGATCCTGGACTTCATCCTTAATCGCCAAAGCAATCTGGTAACAGGTTTTGAATCTGGAAATAAACAGATCAAATATTCAAATTCCAATTCTTTTTAAGCAAATTTTCATCTGTTTTGTGGGAATGAAAAGTATGAAAATTAGGTTACCTGGGTTGATCATTACGAACGAAGGACCAATTGAGGATGGTGACAGGTCCGGTGAGCATGCCTTTCATGGGGCGTTTGGTCATTTGTTGAGCCATGGAGGACCAGAAAACGGTCATGGACTTTGGCCGGCTAACATCACCGTAGATGATCGGCGGTTTCACACACCGGGATCCGTAAGACTGCACCCATCCATTAGCGGTGAAGGCAAAACCAGACAATTGCTCACCGAAGTATTCAACCATGTCGTTTCTCTGTAAATCAATTTAATTTCATTTTCATGTCTTATTTTCGACTAATTCATTAACCAAATTTATTGGTTTTCTTGTACCTCTGGCTCTCCGTGGACTAGCACATCAATGTCGAGTTCTTCTTGAAGCTTCACAACTTTATTGATCTCCTCTTTCATGGCCTTAACGTAATCTTCCTCTGTGATCCTATATATATATAAACACATGAATAGTAATCATTAATCAAATAACAAAATAAAAGACCCATTTGAATATACTCACTTCTTAGCCTTGTATTCACGTCATTAATCAAATAACAAAATAAAAGACCCATTTGAATATACTCACTTCTTAGCCTTGTATTCACGACGAACCCTCCTAATGTCAATTGTTTGAGGGAAAGAACCAATGGTGGTTGTGGGTAGAACCGGAAGATTGTTTTTCTTCTGTTGGGCATCCAATCTAGCACCAACATTGGTGGCACGCCTGTGGGTGGAACCCTTCAAAGCATCAGCCTACAAAAACATAACAAATGAATCTTTTGGGAAATATGGTGATACAAGTTAATGTCAAGAATCTGTATCACTTACAGCTTTTTGAACAGCTTCATTAGTCACCCTTGGGGAGGACTTCTTTGAAGCTAGAGCAGCAGCATTAGCCGAGAAGTATGCCTACAAATTAACCCACACAACCAGAGTCACATCATTATACACATACATGTATGTGTAAATGTATTCATATGTGTACCTCGTCTTTTTTACCAGATAAGGCCATAGCCAAGGCATTGACTTCAATGATCTTTTGAGCAGCAAATGCAAGCCAAGATTTGATTTCATTGTCTAACTTGGTTTCATTTACAAGATCAACAGCAGTGTGGAGGAGGGAGCAGGAGGTTGACACCACAAGCTTGTCTGCACAAATCATGTTTCAAATTTATTGTTCTTACAAGTATGATAAAAAGACACCATAGTTTGCAAGATTGACTTATGAAAATATGCAAAATGGATCATTTTTTTTTGTCAAAACTACTCATTTCTACCTTTGCCAACGACACCCTGAAGAGACTCAAGAATCCCAAGAGATTCAGCAAGATCGTTAGCCCAAATGTTCCTTCCATCAACAACTCCAGCAAAGAGGTATTTTCCAGATGGGAACCTGCTCTTGATCAAATCAAGACTGTTTTTACCACGAACCAAATCAAACGTGTACCCCGTGACAGCTGGCAATGACGTGAGTATCTTAAATGCATCCGCAGTAATATCAGCAAAATAGGTTGCTATAAGAACATTAACACCAGAACAAGCTGACTCCAATCCAGAATAAGCCTTGGTGAAAGCTTCCAATTGGTGGGATTCAAGATCCTTCACAATCGTAGCCTCATCAAGCTGGATCCATGTAGCCCCAGCTTCCTTCAATTCTGTAATGACTTGCCTGAAGAAATCGTGTTTCATTATGATATAATCATATAAACAGTGAATGAAGGTTTTATAATGGTAAAGAGAAAGAGACATACTTGTAGATTGGGAGGATTTTGTCAAGAAGGGATAAAAGATTGAAGTTTTTCTCAACACCCTTTGCAGGTTTAGATAGCAATAAATAGCTTACAGGGCCCACAAGAACAGGGACAGTATCAACTCCAAGCTGCATAAAAGATGAATCAGTTTCAAATAAAACTTACAATGGTGGAAGTGGATCAAATAGCTCAAGAACACATACAGCTTTAGCTTCCTTGAATTCAGTCACGGCTTTGTGAGAAGCATTTGAGAACACCACATCAGGGCCCAACTCAGGAACAATGTAATGGCTGTGTATAAACAACAGTTGATGGCATCAAAATCGAATCATGTGAAGGAAAAGGAAAATAAGAACGTGAACATACAACTTACTAATTTGTGTCGAACCATTTTGTCATTTCCATAGCAGGGACGGATTCGTTTCCTCTAGCCATGGCAAAATAAGTATCGAATCCAATCTCACCGCCTTTCCAGTTGTATCTTGAAGGAACAGCACCAAGCATGGCTGTGGTGTCAAGAACCTGATCGTAGTAAGAGAAAGTGTTGCTAGGGATGTATTTGATGCCAGCGTCCTTCATCTGTTTCCAGATGTTTGATCGAAGATCAGAAGCCACTTTCTGCAAATCATCGGCACTGCTCTTACCATCCCAAAACGATTCTAGGGCAAATTTCAGCTCTCGTTTTGGTCCCATACGTGGATAACCAACGATATGAGATGCCATTGTCCTGTCAATCCACAAATCGAACGATTTACAGAATTATAGCCGATTAAAATTTCAGATTTGAATGATCTATCAAAGCAATCATGTACATTTACACAAAGAATGAGAAATGCGATCAAGTCAGAGACGTATACCTGGAAATAGTATCTGATTGTGTAATGGATTCGAGGTTTTATCAAATGAAGTAAAGAAAATCGAAGTAATTACTACCAAAAACACATAGAAGCGGAAGGGTAGAAGAGGGCAAGAGAGTGGAGTTTAAATCGGATCCAAAATCAGATGGAAAAGGGCGAGAAAAGAGCAATGGAATAGGGAGATACTTGGAAGAGGACTTGTTCTTTCGTACATAGTATTAGGATGACCAAGATTTTTGAAAAGGATACAGTGTGAGTGTGTGTGGGGACTATTTATAGTTTTTGGGCTAAAAAAATACTACTAGTATGATAAAACAATTTTACGAACGATATGATAATTTTGTGATAAATCATAAATGTTTCAAAATTAGTATTTTATGATCTGTCATTTTAGCGTACATGTCTTTTTATTTCGAGCAAGGAACCCTTAAAAAAAGTATTTTATTTTTATATAATGAACTTTAAAAGTTTAAATCATTTTTAGTTTGGGTAATAACAGTTTAAGGCTTACCAATCTTATTAATATTTATTAACTTAATGATTAAACCATATAATTTGCTTTTCTTTTTCCTAATTATTTTGGTTATTTCAGTATTTTATATAATGTTCAAAATCATCGTCTTTATTTAACGATTTTAATTATATATTGAAAACAAAGCACTATTGTTTCCAAAGATATTTAATGAAGTTGTCCAACTATGGAAATTTTTATATTTTTCTACTGTGGCAAAATGCTTCAAAAACACACGGCCCAAACACCTCTCTTGATTTAACTATGGGATAATAAGGTAATTGATTTTCGATTTTGTTTATACCAGTTATAAGGGTAAAATGTGAACAGTTTCAATAGTTCAGTGATAAATAGATAATGAAAAAAAATTTAGTAACTAAATATAAACAAAGTTAAAAGTTCGTTTCCCTCTAAAAAAAGTTGATGACTAGATGTGAACAAACTTCCTGTTATATTATGTATTTTTGTTAAATTTTAACATTTGTTGATGAACAAATCTATAAAAAAAAAACCCCGCAAAAAATGTATAAAAAAAAAACTAAAGTTTTAAAGGATTAAGCACTTTCAAGTGAGTCCTTGATCATTTTGTTATGTTATGAAGCTTAAGTTTGGTGTTGGGCTGTATTAAGTAGTGCTAGGTCATAAAGTCGGGCATTTTATGACTCTAGACGTAGATTAGGCTTGAACTTGAAGATTTAGACATTTGGACTTAAAGGAATAAGACCTGAAAATGCAGTTTTTGGGTTTCAGCACTGTACGTCGGGCGTACTAAGGTAGTACCCAGAGTGAAATAGACCCGTACGGTTGAAAAATACCGATTGAGTTGAAATAGACTCGGGGATGAAATAGACCCGATACAACCTTGAGTTGACATTTGAGTTGAAACAGACTCGGGGGTAAAATAGATTTGGTACAGCCTTGAGCTGACCTATATGTATGAAATGCATTATTTTGGGGAAGTCACTAAGCTTTGTGCTTTCCGTTTTCATATTTATAGTTTCAAGTACATCTGGTTCGAAAGGGAAAGGCCCGGTGTGACTACACATCATCCCCCAGACTTTATTCCGCATTTGATTAACCGTGATTCTTACTTTGATGTTTAAATACTATTTTTCACATCGGATGACTTTGGGAAGGAATGCTATACGAATTAGTGTTATTAAAATGAAAATTTTACTCTGAACTTTTGGGATGTTACATAAACACACACCAAATAATATGGAATCCTTGTTATCAATCATTGTTCCCTTTTTTTTTGTTGTTGTTGTTGTTGTTGTTGTTGTTGTTTTTGTTACAGCCTACGTGTTTAGGTGTGACAACCCGATATTTCAACTCTTTGTAATGACCTAAAAAGTCAAGTATTGTAGCTACTTTTGAAATAATGAAATTAACTTCGAAGATGAAATATGTAAGAATCTTTATAAGAATATCTATTATGTTAGACATTGTGTCAAGGTTTACATAAATACTAAGAACACTAAAATCCGAGTTACAACGAAGAAATTATGACCATTCTAAGATTTCCGACAAAACCGACAACACCGATTAAACGAAAAACGCGAAGTTTCAATGCAATAGCATTTAGCCTTAGGTATCTAAATGAAAGTTATAGATAACATTAAACCGTGAGCGTACACGAAAAGAACATCCAAATCTGACTTCATATAAGGAAGTTATGATTTTTCCAAGATCCAAATATAGCAGTAGACAGCTAAAAACTCGAAATAGAGCTCGAGAGACTTTTGACCGAAACAACCTAAATGAGAATCGAAGGTCTCAACATTATTAGCGCAACAGCGAAAAGTCTGACGAAAACGGACATCGGATGAAGAAGTTATGGATTTTATACGGATTTTTCGTGTCCCGGCCCGTTAAAAATAAATTCAAAATTTGCCGATGAAGTCTAAACAAAAGTTGTAGATCATATTTTCAGCTACGCGTGCATATAAAGAACGTCGAAAACGGAGCTCGTACGCGAAAGTTATGGATTTTACAAGTTCGGGGTTCGAAATCCGAGGTTGTCAGGCCTCTCCACGACGTGGCACTGTTTTGCCGCGACCCGGCAAGTGACTAAGGGCGTCCCATCAATGGAAGAGGATAGACTTGCTCCCCACGACGTGGCCAACCCTAGCCACGACGTGGCACTCAAAAATACCCCCTATAAATAGAACTCTTGGGGTGTCGGGTTTAAGTGCTCCATTCTTCTCTTTCTCGCGCTGAAACTCTGCGTTTAAGCCCCCGAGACCCTCCCAAAGCCCCGATTTTTCACCTTCAAGTCCCGAAGGAAGGTTTTGTGTTCCCGAGATTCCCGAGAATCCCGAGATTTTTCTGCGTTTTCAACTCTTCCTGTCGAAGTTCTGCTCGATTCTTCTCTCGACTACTTCAAATCGACCACTTCAATCAAGTGAGTTCATACCCCCCTTAAATCAACCTTTGAAATGATTTTAAATGTTTAAATACTTTATGGGGGGGGGGGGAATACAAGTAAATACTTATAGTTATTGCTTCGATCACATGTGATTGCATTAATCACATGTGATTAATAACTAGGAAACCAATGATTTTATCACTGTTCAAACTGTTTTACTTCAAAATGTTTTACAAACTCTTTTACTTATCAAATGCTTTTATTTAAATTTTGTTTTACTACTTATAAATTGCATGCCCATATATGTATAGATATATAAGTAATGTTTAAAGGGTTTAGGAAGGCCATCCACCCTATTTCCTTTTCGCGCACTGAGATGTGGTCTGGTGGGATTTCAGGTGACCATCCGAGGGTCGTTTCAATATTAGTTATATATCATATATACATGTATAGACATAAAAGTACTTCCATATTCATGCTTATCAATACATCAATAGCTAGTTACCATCGGGGTAACACAGAACATATACGACTATACTAGAAACAGTACATATACAAATATACTATGAGAACATATACAACTATACTAGAACGAGAAACATCTCATAACATATACAACTATACTAGAACGAGAAACATTTCATTACATATACAAGAATACGATAACAATTGTGATCCACTGTATCGGAGCATGCCTTAAATGTCATGGCCCGAGTTGTAGCCAAATTCTCTTGGAGGGAGAGCGTTGAGTTTGCGTATAGATCTATACTGGATTGACTATCCTACACCTTGCTGCTAGCTACAGCCGGACCTGCAGGTCTGCGGGTGCCAAACGTCATTCCGTTATTACGACCGTTCTTATGTCGTTGTTATCAGTCGATAGTATGGTGCAATTATCAAATTATACCTTAATATAAATCCGGTTTAAGGTAGTTAGTACAGCAGTAGTTCCTATAAAACAAAACTACAGTACTACAATGATTTACCCATTACATTTTAGTGATAACCTCACTTAAACTTAAATGTACAAACTATATTTTGTTAAATAATAGTTACACTTGGGAAATTACACACTTTTACAACAAACGAGCATACAAAGCAGTTAAGCCTTGGTAGAAGGCTACTTTAATAGAAAATATAGGTTTTGCTGAGAGATTCAAACTTTTACAAACAATTACATACAGTTTACAACTTATACTTACCACAGGTTCAAACGTTTTGAAAACGAACATCGACACTAAATTACTTATGAACTCACCAGCTTAATGCTGACAAACTCTTTCAAAATAACTTGTATTCTCAGGTCATCAGTAGACAGGTACCGATGCCAACTTTTGAGAAGATGGAGCGCATTTCAAGACTCATATTATTTTGATTCACATTATATTTTTGGTGTCTAAAACTGTAAAGAACACGCTTGTATTAAAATTATATATATTTAATGCAATGGATGATGTTGTTTGCTTATTTACATTTACTGTGTTGTGATACTTTACATGACGTCCTCCGCCCCAGAACGTTTCCGCCGTTCTTGGTTTTGGGGTGTGACATTAGGCAACTGTTAAGTATTAATATTATGTTTTGCTGAACTTGTACTGTTTTGTTGTACTCTTAGATCACAACAATGTAATCCATGTTCATTGTATGTAGGGGTGAGCAAAAACCGCACCGCAACTAAAATTAACCGTATAAACCGCAACCGATAAATCACAATAGCAATAATAACCGATGGTGAAGTTTTATGTTTTTCAAAAACCGCAAATTTGCGGTGTGGTGCGATTATTAGTTTTTAAAACCCGCAAAAAAACCGCACCGCACCGCATATTTTATATACAACTTGTTTTATTAATTATCAATATATTAAATATTAAAAATAAGACAAGTTTCATGAATAAAAGATGAATAAAATACTAGATAATAAAAGTAGGGTTTTTTGTTATGTTTAATTTTGAAAAATAGTGAAATTAGATAATTTTAAGAAATTTATTGTTAATTACTATTGATTTGACGTTTTTAAGATATTAATTGTTTGTGATTTAAGTTAATTGTCTAATACATTATGGTTTTTTTATTACAAGTAATATGTTTGAACTCTTAAAACCATTTGAGCTCTAAACTATGATAAAAAAAACAACAAAATAACCGCACCAAATTCATGTGATTAATAACCGCAACACAGAAAAAACAAAATCGCACCACAAAAATAACCGCCTAACCGCACCGCAAAAATAACAGCACTAAGTGGTTTTGAAAGTGGATTAACCGCATTGCGGTTAGTGGTGAGGTTTTGGCTAATAACCGCACCACGCTCACCCCTAATTGTATGTGTTAACTG